TATTGTACACTAAACTCAATAAAAAACTCGAGTCTCGGACTCGACATTTGAGTATCACTTCTGAACGCTTCCCATCGGGAAAGTATTTGCGAATACCCGGCGGTTCCAACACAAACCATACACCGTTACCAATTACCTAGGTCGTATAAATCAAATCATATTAGGTTTAGTTACATTCTTTATTGATATTCTGGATAAAAAATCAAGTTTTGGTTTTTACATTCTCTCTCTCTCTCTCTCTCTCTCTTTCTCTCTCGCTTCCTCTCCCACTTACTCACAAACTCCCACTCAATCTCTACCTTCAATGTCCCGAAGCTATCAATTTTGAAAGTTTTTTAAACCGTTTTTTGTATTTCTGTTTTAGTTTCTTATTTATTTCTTCTATTCTTTTCATTGAGTTTTTGTTCACTATTTTCTTCTCATTTTATTGTATATTCTTCTTGTTTTTCCCAAAGATTTGTATTAAACAAAAACTAACGAAAATTGATTTGAAAACCCAAAAGTGAAACACACTTTTTATTGTTGTAAAAATACAGAATAAACCACAAATCTCTCGGCGCTTATAAGTATTGCAAACTAACGTAAATTTTGCCACATATTCTCACTGATAATAGCTATACGTTAAATGTTAGTTCACTTATATGTTTCTAATAAACTTTATCAACAAATTTATATCATATATACACTATATTACCAAAGTAAATTTAAAAATAATAATAACCACAGTAGCTATCACTCAATACTGTATATGTTTTAGTAATCTATAAATAAAACTCTACAAAATTTTGATTAATATTAAAATTATTTCATTTTAAAATTTATTTATTTTTAATTTAAATCAATTTTATAAATCAAATCTCTCAGAGAATTTCACTAACACTACTGAACAGTATATTTATAACTCAAAATATATGCAAAAACTATAATATAAAATCAAATCATAATATATTTGTTGAACGAGTTGTAGAGCCAGAAGCAAAAATTGTATTAAATTTCAATAAACCATAACATGAGTCCCAAAATTAAATTAGGATTAAAGTGAATGAATGCATCGATTGCTCCAAAAATAACATCACATGTACTAAGGCTTTAAAAATAAGGAGAAATTTCTCTCATTTATTATTTTGACTCTTTTTAGAGAGAGAGAGAGAGAGAGAGAGAGAGAGAGAGATACAAAAAACGGTTTAAAAAACTTTCAAAATTGATAGCTTCGGGACATTGAAGGTAGAGATTGAGTGGGAGTTTGTGAGTAAGTGGGAGAGGAAGCGAGAGAGAGAGAGAGAGAGAGAGAGAGAGAGAACTATTGGGAGGTAAACTGCAAAAATGTTGTTGCTACTTTTGTTGTTTAGTATTGATTTACTGTACAAATTGAATTAATTATAATATAGTTAAGTGTAGTAATCTACATCTAAATTAGTAGTGAATGTTATGGGAAAGTATGTTGAACTTACTTGAATGGAGACGAGAATCATGGTGATGATAACCTGGGACTTAGGGCTTATAAAACTGGGCCTTCGGGCAGATTTGCGGGCGCTGTCGAAGATCCGAGAAATCCTATTGGTTTTGGTTAAGAGCGCGCCATATATTATACAAAATCCAAAACCAACCTATGGTTTGAAACAAATATTTTTATTTAGTTATTAATTAGTGATAATTTATAGTATAAATTGCAATACAATGTCAAGGAAATAAGAAAAACAATAAGAAACAAGAAAATAATTAAAATTAGTTTTCTGTGACATAAGAAGCACTCGATTGGAGAGAGAGAGAGAGAGAGAGAGAGAGAGAGAGAGAGAATGAAAGAGAGTATTCACTTTACTATTTGCACTCATTTCAGAGAATAAATGTATTAAACAATAAACACATATTTATTTCGGAATTTAGAGAGAGAGAGAGAGAGAGAGAGAGAGAATTATTTTCTTTGCTTTCTTCTGGTTTCTAAAAAGGAATATATTTACATTACAAATTGCCTAGCCCATTCTGGTTGATATGTACATGTTCAGTACGGTCCATAGATGCATTTTCCGTTGTGAGAATCTGCCAATGGCCAGAAATGACCGAATTATGGACAAAATTCGAAGTAATTATATAGCATTCAATTGAATTCAACCAACGTTAAAAGCAATAAAAAGTTGTGACAAATGGTGATTCACACATAGCACAGGGCCATTCACCAAAAGTCTATGCATTGAATGCTATGTAATTACTTCGAATTTTGTCCATAATTCGGTCATTTCTGGCCATTGGCAGATTCTCACAAAAGAAAATGAATCTATGGACCGTACTGAACATGTACATATCAACCAGAATGGGCTAGGCAATTTGTAATGTAAATATATTCCTTTTAAGTCTCAATATATTCCTCAATAAATTATTCAACAAATTTCTATTTCTTTCTTTTTTCTCCAATACTTCTTGCCTTTTAGTCCATAAATTTTAATATATTATTTTTCATATATTATATAACCCAAAGGTATGAGTAATTAATTTTTATCATTTTATAGAGAGATTACAATTAATTATTAAATATATATTCAGAGATCGTATGTCTTATACACTGTTTGCTATTAATTAGCTTATAATTCAAAATATATCTGATTATAGAGTGTACAAACCAAGTTCACTACTAAATTCATTGGTATCCAATAATTAGTACTTAATTTGCATATCATTAACAGAGAGTCCACTCAATAGGGTTTCATTTTGGTTAAGAGTCTGTGAGATCGGAGATTAATCTCTGAATCTAATTAATTATTAATTAATATGACACTGATTTCCACATTCTATACTAATGTCGAATAAATACATACATAACTCCTAAATAAATATCTTATAAGAAATCATAATAACAAATTGAATTCGTGTCTATTATTATTAATATCAATGAATAAAATCATTGTGTTTGAGTTGCAATCAATAATCATAAATGAAATAATAAGTAAAATACAATCATATGAACGGAAAAACTATAAACTAATGGCTAGTAATGGATGGATACAAACCCCAAATCTTTGAAGAGCGCATATAATGGTCGTCGGTTTGGATAAGAGGAGGAATGTGTTTAAATAACAGAACATAATACCGCCCAACAGTATGAACGAGAGCTCCCGTCCGGAGGCCTTCACGATAGGAGTGTCGCTGTATTTAATGAAAGTGAATGCGACAAACAGTGTGAGTGAAAGGCCCAGACATGCGATCACAATGGGAATGATGGCAAACAGTGAATCCCATTTCATGTACTGCAGTGTCAGGTCATAGCAGCTATGTTTGTCTTTGTTAGGCCATCGGCCCTCTCCGCAGTCCTCGCAGTGGCTCTCGTTGAACACGTAGGCCCAGGGCTCGCACTTGGAGCAGATCCAGCAACAGTGGTCGCCCTGTTGTACGATCTTGATCTCACCCAATTGACACGGCTGTGAGCAGATAGAGGTGGGCAGCTCTCGGACACCCTCATTGAATTTGAGCTCATCGCGGGTCAGCTCCAGCCCGGAGTCTGTCCACCGGCCGACCAGAACGTAGTGATAAAGACTCGAGTTTGGCATTTGTTGGTAATTGAATATATTATATCGTCCCAACCCATCGCCGTTGCGGTCAAACTTCATGTCACTTCCGGCCAAATCTACAGGCAATACAAATAAGCCGTCAAATGAGTGAATGAGTCCTCTTTTCATGTAATAAACGATTAGAGATTTTTATTGAGAAATTCCGAAATAAATATGTGTTTATTGTTTAATACATTTATTCTCTGAAATGAGTGCAAATAGTAAAGTGAATACTCTCTTTCATTCTCTCTCTCTCTCTCTCACATTCTCTCTCTCTCTCTCTCTCTCTCTCTCACATTCTCTCTCTCTCTCTCATAAGTTTGGGGCAATAAAGCGGAATGTATTCATTGCCTCATCGATCAAAGTAGTGTCACATAAGATGCTAACAAAACCGCTAAAACACAATGTCTTCACCACAAAAAACAGCACATATTTTATCAAAGCCGGAGATGTATTCATTCAAACGCTTATGACTTCAATCCTATACTTTCCTATCGTATGATTTCCTTATATAGACTTATTGAAAATATGGTTAGTGTTTGACAACTGAAGAAATCACAACTTTATTATCGCGGATGTGATCGCAAAACATGAGAATATCTTATTGATCGACAATTTTGTAATCAAATCATTTCTTATAATATGTTTGCTGTGATTATGAATGCCATTGAAAACTATAGAATATATTATGCATTGCAAATCATTATTAACCCAATTTATAGAAAATCTATGAAAATTTAATGTTATTTAAAATTACTATGAAATACATAATGACCATAATAAAATTAGTGAAATAACGGCATATAAATTATTTTGATTGATTTGAGATATAATGCATAAAAAGTGAAGTAAAATCTGAAAGCCATAAAAATGTCATCATTTAAACACATAATTATTTTATTAAAATTTAATTACTTCGGGGAATAAACTCATCTATTTTTCATACATTACTGTATAATATGCGGTCATTTAGTTTACGGCAATAAAACCATTTGAAAGGCTTTTCACATCTCAAACTCCTGATGGAGTTTAACGCTATTTTCAATACACATTTTGAAAGCCCATTATTATTAGGACTAAAATGCAATGCAAATGATTCGCACGAATGCCAAACAGTATTATCTTAAATGAAATGAAATGTTTTAAAACTCAATTCAAAAGATCACATCAAGACTTTAATAAATCTAAATAATAAGCAAATTGTAAAACGAAATTGATTTCAATAAGTGTTAAAAATAGTTTGAATCTAATACATGTATTAAATCAATGACTTTTTACCAGGTTTAAGCACCCTTTGGTATTTAGTAATGGATATTTGCTTTTATTCATAATCAAATACATTTAGATAATTTTAATAACCATTAAAATTATTTAAAAACCAAATATGGTTTTGATATTTGATTTGATTACAAGAAAGAAATGGAAAAATCTATAAATAATGTTATAATGAATTTAATACCAGGAATTACATGCGAAACGTAATGCAAATACAAAGAGTGTATAAAAAAACCCCAAATCCCAGGAAAAATTTCCATGAGATTTGTGTAAACACTATTAGAAATACAAATAAACTGTTTTTGTTTAAAAATGAATGCATTGAATGAGTACTGAATTTCAAGGACTTTCGGGCACTAGAATTGATTTATTTATATTTAATATATATTTTTATATAAATTCTAATTTAATTAAATTTCAATATTTACTCATTTAATTCATTTTTATTTATCTCTAATTTTAATATTGTGTTTAGAGATAATGAGTACTGAATATTGAATTTTCATTTCAGCACATCAATTTATTGAACGAAAATTATGTCTATAATTATGCGATATTTAAACAAATGTATGAGATTTGAAATAAACTTAATCTTTAGTTTTAAGGTTTAGTTTTTAATAATGATTTTGGTTAGGATGTAGTGTTAAATATGGCAATACGTTAAATATACAAACGTTAATAATAATAATTAAATCCTCAACTTAATATATAAAGTACAATATATGTAGATATAATTTACTAATCTAGAATAACAACAATTTAGCATGCACAGTAAGTCACAAATACAATAATCGTATGGTAATATTTTATAAGTGATTTTAGAAATCAATTTATTTATAGATTGAAAATATGTACATAATATTGGGAACAGTATATGCTTTTAATAGAAATCGCATCGTTTATAATGTTAGGAAAATTGCAATCACGTCTCATTAGGATAACGGTTTGGCGCTCTGTGTTAACCCGGGTATCATAAGGCCTTTAAACAATTACCTCAATCAAACGTATATCGATTTTAAAGCTATAAAATATTGAATTCTGTAATCATTTAGCAAAATAAGTTACATAATATATTGTTTTTAAAATGATTACCTATTTTTAATAATTATGAACAGCAAAAAAACTTTGGTAAATGTGTTTTATATTACTTATATTCTTATGAAAGGAACAAATGTATGCTTTGTTTGCAAAAGAAGAGCAAGACTTTGAACACTCAGAAAGAGAGTGAACGGTTCGAGAGAGACATTGCATTGCATTTAACAGTTCTATAAATGTATGTATGAAATAACAAAACATATTCAGTGCTCACAATTCTGGCTTCAAGAGACTGATTCAAACCCAATGCGATTCGCGAGAATTGTTTTATTGCTTATACAGTATGTGTACAGAAGTGGTCTATTCTACTCATGTGTTGTCTGTTTATGAATTCCTGTTAAGGACCCGAACTGATGACCTCCTGGCCATCGCCGCCATCCCTGGCGATACACTCTCTCCCCCTTTACGCCTCCATTTATGACTTGTATTTTGAGCACTCGTTTGAAGCAAATAACGATTATATAAATGTGTGCTTCACTTACAGCACTTAATTGAATGCGAAGTTAACAGAGAAATGTGTGAGAAAGAGGAGAGAGAGAGAGAGAGAGAGAGAGAGAGAGAGNCAACCGATTGTGCGGTCGTTAATGACAATAAATCCAATACATGAGAGAGAGAGAGAGAGAGAGAAACGGAATAGAAAATTAAGCTTAAAGAAGATTCTGATTATAAGAGTTTACTTATACTTATTAGTTTGTGATGAATTATGAACACAACGGCTCTAACAGTAAGTTTAGGCCGACTATCGCTATTCACTCGCTATTCTTTACACTCAATACTATAAGTTATATGTGAACTAATGCTATACTTTATATGTTCCTCTTGTCTTATTCTTTGGGTAAAGTCATACATAGTATTCACGCCGTATATGAATACTCTTCGCCAACACTAATCCTAATACAATCTTTTCCTGTATATTAGTTCTTAAAATCAATAAAACAATATTTAATTACTGACTGTTTCTATTAAATAGTTTTTATACCATGATATTGTATTTTACTAAAATCCCATACTTTAATTAATATCTGATAATATAATATTTAGTTTTATTTCTTATAAAACATCACATAATTTGTAAATTAATTTTATAAAGAATTATGGATTTGACTTATTTGGCAAATAAATGTGTTTTAAAAAATAATAATCACTTATCAGATCATACAAGACATTAATCTAAGTTCAATTTGAATATGATATAAGACTTTATTCACTATATTTCTTAATACCAACACAAATGAGAGAGAGAGAGAGAGAGAGAGAGAGAGAGAGAGAGAGAGAGAGAGAGAGAGAGAGAGAGAGAGAGAGAGA